AAATTTAATTTGACATCCAGAATGGATTTGATCAAGTTTTTGAATTCCTGCCCTCTGGACAATGAAAAAAGTAAAATACAAGGACCTAGTTAGAGCCGCGCACCCCATCACACCCTATGCTCCCTTGCCATGGGGTGTGATTGGAAGATCCAGAGTTCAGAGCCAAAGGTCCTGCACTTGAGCTGTAGAGATTCAATTTACTACTAACTTTCCATGTGAACTTGAGCAGGATACTTGACCTCGTGGGCCTACATATGTGGAAACATACTGCAAAACACTAGGATTTGGGGCATTATTTTTACTAGACATTTTGGTAAGTTCTTCATCTTTGTATTTTCTAGTACATGGGCAGTTTTCAATAAATGAATAATGAATAATAATGAATGAGGCACTGTGGTATAATAAAAATAATATGAGCTTTGGAATTAAGAAGGCTAAAATTCTAACCTTAGCTATGTGGTCTTTACCTCACTGAGCTTTTGTCTCACCCATAATATGATGTATAATATAAATACATCAGAAGGTTGTTTGAGGAGTAAATAATATGCATTTATATATAAAGTGCCAATATAAAGTGCTGGTACAATCAATGCCTGGCCACTCAGTAGGCACAACAAAATGTATCTTCTTTGTTCCTGATTATTAGCTAAACGGTTGGTATAGACATTAACTGAATAACTAAGGTAAAATGAATTATTTGAACATGAATTAATTCTTACATTGTATGGTCCTTCACAGTTTTCAGAGCTCTTCAAAACACTTTATGTCGTCTGATGCTACTGATATTTTCAGAGTTGTCATTTTTATCAATGAGAAACCCAAACCAGAGGTTGTAGCTTGCCCAAGGCCAAACAGCCAGAAAGTGACTGATCCAGAACTACATTCTGGGCCTACTAATTTCTTCTCTGGCATTCTTTCCAGCACAATAGCTGCCTCTGTCAGTCAAAGCTGTGTATCTTTGACATTCATCATGATTCTCATGTTAGCCAGAAACTTCTGAAGTGGTTAACGTAATAGCCCAATGATGTATACTTCTGATATGTTTAGAGACATGCCCATTCTCCATTTCATTACCCCCAAGCTATGTACACTCTCAATTTTCCTTACCAGCATTCCAGGGACAGGAAAGTTAGGAACAATGCTGACGTGTATTGCTTACTTTCTATATTCCAGTGTGGAGTCAAGAACTTCACATGTTATCACCTCCATTCCAAAAGAAACTCCCATCGAAGAATAGCCTAGAGGTGAGGGTAGAATTTTTCCAGTTTGAACCTCTACGGGGAGACTGTGGAGCTTCTCACATACCTTAATTGGTTTTCTGAACGCACATTACCGACGGGGGATCGGTTTTTGAGCTTCAAGATGCTATGTGAACTCACTGAAACAAGTATCGCATTCCCATCTAGCCTCAGTATCAAACCTAAGAACTAAGAACACGGCATTTGCTTTTCATGAGACATATTCAGCTTATGTAGTGTTTCCTTAAAAAAGGGGAAATTATAAATTTTTATTATAGTTATTAAAAAATAAAAATAATCTATTTTTTGACATCTGCCAATTCATTATTTGAAGTATTAAAGCCTTCTTTCAAAACTGACTACAAGCATCTTTTATTTCACATACTAATAATGTGTAAACTTGACTGTAATGTTTTTTTACTTCATTATAAAGTTTTTAAACTATTTTCTTTTATTGTTCAAATAAAAATTGTTTTTACAAGCTACATTGAAAAATAATCTTTCACATGATTCAGAATATATGTTTATAAATTCTTTAGACATATTTAAATCTGCTGAATTTCAATTTACACATTGTGAACTATATATACAGTTGTTTAATTTATTGCAAAATCATTAAACTCTTTGATGAAATAATGTTTTAAAAAGGCATGGCAGACTTTTTTTCCTTTATTATGTAAATGATGGCTTTTGCATGTTTTTCCTATGTTAAAAATGAATATATTAATCCAATCTGTCCCCATTTCTCAAATAAAGTTGTGTTCTTTGGGAACTGATAGTCAATCAGTTGTTTAACAATCTTTTAGAAATTAAATCCCGGATGCTTTAACATTAGACTGTGAAATAAGGCAGAATTCAGAAGTATTTTATGTTCTTCATGATAATCTAAAATTTTTATTTGATTCCAGGTAACTTTGGACAATAGACATGATGGGATGTTTTCTTTTGTAATTAACAATTTATAACAATTAATTTTGTAAATAACAATTTAATTACATCATTGAAATAAAATAGTGTGGGCTTAATACATTGTAAGTATTACAGAAGTACTACTTTGCTATAGTAATTTAATGACCGAAGCTACAGTGAGTAACAATCTTACTGGTACTTGTGTACAAAATATTATACAGATTACTAACAAAGAAACTGCAGCGGTTGCAAGGATGTTACCAGCTCAACAAACATCTAACAATACAATATTCTAAGAGGAAAAGTAATAATGTTAGATTTACAGACAATAAAGAATTGTTTTCCACTTGAAACATTGGAAGAATCCAGATGATCTAGTATCTTCATTTATATTATTACAAGAAAAAGGTTTCCTTTCTTGGGGACTCCATTCCCCAGCAGGCCTAGTGCACTAAATTTACGTGAAGATAGCTTTTCGGATGACACAGCAAAGGAAAGAAACTCTTCTATCTGAAATTACTGATTCGTAGGCCACTGCTTAAACAACTGACTTTTTTTAAAACCTATTTACATACATTCAGCCCAAATCAGTAGATAAAATGTTTTGTCTATATTACAATAGGCATTTTTAACATTTCATCAGAAGGCCAGTGCAAGACAACTGTTAAAAGCCATTGCCCAGCATTTAGGAGATTTTAAAATATCATACAAATATACAGTTAGATTGTGAGAAATCTAATTTTGCGCATGATATTGGTGGTCTCTTTTACAGACATGGAATGGCAGAAATTAATCATTAGGGCAGTAATTAGAATGCTACTCATCCAGGGCCTAATTCCATCTCGTGGTCGGGCCTTTTTCCTGCAATGGGAGTTTAGGCTGCCATAATGCCTTGACACTTACTGCCAGATAGGCTCCACTCAAAGTGATGGATGGGGAGGCTTGGGAATCATCTCAAGTGTGGGCATATGTCGGCAGCTTCTTCTAGATCCATGTTTCTTTTACATATATTTCACATGTAATGAAAAAGTAGAGGTTTTTGGAGACAGCCCTCTTGGTCTAAATAAAACTGTTGGTCTAGGTCTGAAAGATTCATCATTACTCTGAAGAAACTGAGCAGGTTGTAAATTTGGCCCTTTCTGAAGACATATGAGATGATGGAATGCGTAGTCAGGACAAATGTATTACCCTCAGAGGAAAGTAGATAACTCTGAAGTTGGACTTTGTAAAAATCAAACGTAATAAAATTTAAATTATATCTAAATTAATCAGTCTAATTAAGGGACTAATTAATGAATGATACTAATAAATGGTAACTCTAATGAGTATATTCATGGGGAGGACATCTGAGTAACCTGGGTTAGGAAATTATATTGAAAGTGTCAAAGGGAATCAAACTAATTTAAATGTTTTAAAACAAAGGTGGTATAACACATACATGATGATATTTCACAGATATTTCTTAGAATATCAATAAGCACCAAGTTTAGTGCTGTCAGCCCCATGGTCCCTTCATTGATTATATATGATTTAGATCTTGAAAGCACAACACACTATAAAATCTACATTGCATACACACAAATAGTTTCAAAAATGAATCCTGGAGTTTTGTTTTTTACCAATAATTAGAATTTCACTTTCACCAGGTTTTCATAGCTGTGAGAAGAAAGTTGGTACTACCCAGTGAGCTCTGAGACACGTGGATTAATATTCAGCATAACGCAGGACAAAAGAGTGGCATTTCTTAAATGAAAACTAGACCCTGGTGAGTTTTTTCATAAAGAATCTTTTCTCCTTCTTCTAAAGAGATCTTATTAATTAAGGCTCCAGCAACCTGAGCCCTCATCTGCATATCACAGAGAGGTAGTCAGGGAACCAGAGGGTGGATTTGAGCTATAGACACAGACCTCAGCTTGGTCCACAGGCCACATGCAGCCTTAGACAAGAAGACTCCACCAGATTGCACAGGTACCTAAATACCTAAAAAGTCACCAAAAATACTAGCTCTCCACTTCACTTCATGCTACGCAGGCCTCTGGATCCTGCAGGAGCCGTGCTTTATCTGTATGAGGGGAATAGTGTAAGCAAGTTTGTCAGTCAAGTGGCTTCTTAAGCAGCGTCAGTGCTTACTGGGAAAGGGCCTGATTCTGAGCACCATTAAGGAGTAAGAGGCCAGGGCACGAGAGGAAAGAAAGCCGTGCTCATCTTTCCGCTTTAGCAGATCTTGGTGACCAGGGCCAGAGAAGAGGTCTATTCCTTAGCCCAAACCTATACAGACAAGGCTGGGAGCTGGGTGACAGACAAGGGCATCTGGGTGAGGCACAGAAGAGGCCATATGTCATCCAGGCCTCAGTCAGGAGTGTGTCAGCTCCTCACTACCCTTTTCTGTCTCACCCATTCATTGTCTATTAGGCTCCTTAGCCACATGGGCTGGACCTGGTCGTCTAACTTGCAGCAAGCCATGTATAATGTTACTTAAACTGAGATCACACTGCCTACAAACACAACTGAAAAATGTTACCACTGAAGGTTTTTTAGAACCACTTCCCCTATAATGATTTACATCTCCATGGACTTGATCCATAGTAGGTGCTCAGAAACCAAAACACTTTCATTTTCTGCCATTAACACTATAAATACAGGCCTTCACTTGAATGTTCACTACTGATTATTCCTTGCCAAACACTGGTCTTATGGAATACCTAACGGTCAATTTAGTAATACTTGACCCAACCTCTAAAAGGCAAGGATGTGGGTGGGGGTGAGGGTGGGGAGGGTTCTGAATGCTCATGGTCAGTATTTTTATCAACAAGATTTCTGAATGAACTCAAATTTAGAAACTGAATTCATGTATAAGAGTGCAGCAAGTGGTACAGTTTACACTGGGTCACAGTTTTCTCACTTTATGACATTACTGTAACAGTTACAGGATAGAAATGCACACATACACACATTTATATTCACATTCACACACAGTATAATTTTACTGATCCAGACAATACTTCTTTTCAATTAAGAAAATAATGAAGATTGTTGTTTGGCCACCCAGGCATAAAATCTACTTAAACCTGGAATATAAGAATACAATACTCTTCAAGTAAACAGCAATTGCACAGTGATAACAATATACATTAAGATTGACACATGCTGTCTGTCTTAAGAGGTCCAGTAATAGCTAAAGACTAAAGAAAGTCAGAGATGTCAGCCTAAAAAGTCAATATGCCTTCTTTCTTCCATTCTAATTGTAATCCATCACCCAAGACAATAGCTTTAGTCGAGAAGATAATAAATGTCCTCATATGAAAACGCAGAGCTAATAAATTTTTAAGTGTCAATAAATTCTGCTCAATACTTTGGAGACTCTTCAAATTCTTCTTGTTGTATTAACAGAAAAAATAAACCTTTATGGTTATGTCCAATGTTAAATTTAAATAGAGATGTCTGAAAAAATATTAAGGTTTCTAAAGTTATATTATGGGCAATACTCTTTTAAAAAGTGGTCTTATTGGCATATATCCACTGCTTATATTCCATCATTTTCATAAAATTCTACTTTTCAGTTTTGCTGAACTAGACAAATATAAACAACACATAATAAACACTGATACACATCTCACAGGACACAATAAATTTTACAAAATAGCTCTACTTTAGTACTATAACTGTTGTAAAAATGGACAGCTCTGATACTGATGGACAAATACATTTCACATTATAATAAAGTTGTGGTTACAAAGGCATTTACTCATTTGATGGCATTTTTCTATTGGTACTTAGACTTCAAATTGTGTAGCTAAAGGTTTCCCTCCTATTTCCTTGAGACTTTGAACAACCTCCCAGTCACTTAAGCAAAAGGCTTTCTTCACTGTCAGTCCCTGGAGAACTGAATTTGAGAATCTACACTATCCCAAACATTCGCAAACAGCCTACCGATCATAGTGAAGATCATCTTTTCAGTGAGCATGATAAACTTAAAAAATATAACCGATGAGACGACAGACTCCTCTAGATTTTCAGCTTTAAAAACAAAACAAAACTTCTTTCCCTGCGCCGCCCAGGAAGGCGTCGGCTCACACGGCCTCGGCCGACGTGTCCGTGGACACGGACATGGTGACCTTGGCGATCTTGACCGTGCTCTTGATGCAGCTCTCGGCGGCCCGGTGCGCGCCGGCCGCGCTGTTGGCGGGCTTGTGCGGGCAGTCCGACTCGCCCACGCTGTTGTCGAGGGGCTGCGCGGTGCCTTCGCACGACGGGAACATGCTCCGGAAGGCGTGCCTCAGGTCCTGGCTCCTCAGAGCGTAGATGATGGGGTTCACGGTGGAGTTGAGCAGGCAGAGCATACTGCAGAAGGCAAACACTGTCTTAATGAGCTTGTTCATCTTCCCAAAGACGTCGTAGACCATGATGGCGAGCAGGGGGCCCCAGCAGATGATCAGCACCACCAGGATGAGGACCAGCGTCTTGGCCAGCCTGATGTCCATGCGCGTCTGGTCCGGCCGCGTCACCTGCACCTTGCCGTCCTCGGACGTGTGGATGATGATGCTCTTCTGGGTGCCGCGCTGAATCATGCGCACCGCGTGGCTGTGGGCCTTCCAGAGGATGTACATGTAGGCGTACACGATGAACAGCAGCAGCACGCTGGTCACCCCGATCCAGAACATCAGGTAGGTTTCGTCGATGAGGGGGAAGATGTCTGAGCACACGGATTGCAGTTTCTTGCAGTTCCAGCCCAGGAGAGGCAGCACAGCGATCACAATTGCTATGGTCCACATCAGGCAAAATGCCACCACAGCCTTGGGCCTGGTGACAATTCTCTTATAGGCCAGGGGCCTGTGAATAGATATATACCTGTCGATGGCGGTGAGGAACAGGCTGCCCACCGAGGCGGTGAAGGAGGCCGTGACGCCGCCCAGTTTGAACAGAAACACGTTGGGGCTGTCTTTGCGGTGGAACACGTGGAAATCAACGAAGCTATAGACAAAGATGACACTCCCCAGAAGGTCTGCCACCGCCAGGCTGCCGATGAAGTGGTAGGAAGGCCTGCAGCGGAGGCTGCGAGAGTGCAGGATGACACACAGCACCAGCAGGTTCTCCAGAACTGTGAAGGTGCCCAGAGTGAGGGACAGCACAGCGATGGCCAGCTGCTGGCTGGGGTTCAGAATCATGAAGCACTCCATGTCCATGAAGTTCTCCCCACACTGAATGTTGTCATTTTCCTTGTAGGATGAAAGAGACTTGTTGTAAAATTCAGTGAGGTTCACCTGGTCTGCTGGGACTAGCTGGGGGCTGTCTCCCGCAGTCATCTTCTCCTGGAAGGGACTTCCCCTGAAAGAAGTTAAGGGAAATTTCTGGGGGAAGTACCCTAATTTGGATGCCATGTCGCTTTTGATGTCTTCGTACTGAATGTCATTCGAGCCCACGTAGAGGAGGTCCGTGGTGATGGTGCGGAAGGTGGTATCTGCAAGGCCATCCAGGATCGACTTCATAACCTCAGTTTTCAATTAGGCCAAACTCAAAATGACTGAGAAAGAGATGGAAGCAGAGAATCCTAACAGAGGAAAACAGAGAAGCCGGTTGGTGAGAAAACCAGGAGAATTCAAACAATAAAACTTCAATGAGTACCATCATGTTAGATCATTTCTGTCTCTGTATACAGGTCAAATCCTCACCAGATTCAGTCAACAAAATGAGCCAGTCACTTAGTTAAAGAAAAGCCAACCAGAAGTTGTTGATGTGGCATGCACTAGAAACACGTTTCTTTCATTATCTGAGCTCTCTGGATATAAGTCACTGTGTTGAATCCGCTATGGACCACCAGGATCTGATGGTCAAGTGTCTTGGGCGTGGTGTGCATTTCACAGTCATGTTAGAAAGTGTTTATCACCTGGATTCTACCCTCACCCACACGCAGTGGCAGTGTCCTAATGCTGGTGGGGGTGGGGGAAAGCAACAACGTGTCACACAATCTCTGCTCTTGAAGACTTTAATCACCTTGTCACACAGTAAGACTGAATGTGCAAGACAACCAAAGAACAAGACAGCGTGGGATCAGAGACTGAGTTGTGTGGCCTGTGTGATGAGTGTAAAAGGGGAGGGAGAAACTGCCGAGACCCAAAAGAATCATGTGGCCATGGCAGGGAAATCTGGTTCCAGTCCTGGCTCCATCAGGCAAGTTTCTTCATCCAGGGGTGACATTTGGACTGAGCCATGGCTGAGAAAAACTTCTAAAATGTCTACGCCCACCAAGAAAAATGTCACAAAGGGTTTTCACTGGGGTTCATGAGAATACCAAGAGATAGATATATATATATATATATATATATATATATATTTTAATTCTCACTTGAGGATATGTTTTTATGGATTTTAGAGAGAGAGGGAGGGAGAGAGAAAAACACTGATGAGAGAAACATTGATCAGCTGCCTCCATATGCACCCTGATAGGGGATCGAATCCGTAACCTAGGTATGTGTCCAGACTGAGAGTCAAACCCGCCACATTTTGGTGCATGGGATGAGACTCCAAAAAAACTGAGCCACCCAGTCAGGGAAAGACCAAGATCTTCATGACTGGAAAAGAGTGATAAGGGACAGTGCTTCTTGGCAGTGTCCCCCATGAGTGGTGTGGTGACACAAGCATGCTAAAGACAGGAGACAGGTCTCATCACTCAAAGTTTTCCATGTGGACAGCACTGGAAATAAGGACGATTGAGAGGATAGGCCAGATTGTAAGGGCTCTTCAGTTCTAAGCCAAGCAATTTGGTTTTGTTTCAAAATAAACATCCAGAGAATTGATTTTACTATTTATAAATGCTCGTTTAAAATGTGGTTATTAGGCTCGTTAGCTTATTTAAAAAAATAAAAGTACTGAGTGATATCTATAATAATCAAAAGAATCATAAAGCCAATATTTATTTACTGTCTTTTTGCTGTTCCTAAAAGTATTACTCTGTACTGGAGGGAAAAAAGATAGTCATTATCTTGGAACAAATTTAAAAGTTCTGAGTCCTCCTGCTAAAATACAGAGGTCCTATCTGTCTGAATTAATAAATCATTTATTCATCCAGTCAACAAATTATGGAGCACCCACTATGTGCCAGGCACTGTACTAACCAAGAGGGACACAACTGCATCAAGAAAGAGTCTGAGCACATGAAGTACAGTGTAGCAGAGGAGACAGGCAGTCAACCCCGTATGAGCAAGTGTGGTGATAGCCACCACTGGGCACATACAGGATGCTGTGGGAGCAGCCAGTCTATGGGGTTGAAGGAGGCTTCCCCAAGAAAAGCATGTGTATGCCCAGAGTATAAAGGATTAGTGTGGGTGCAGACAGGACATCAGATCATTTAATCTTGAGTTTACATATTTATTTTCATAACCAGAATGTAGAATGTTATCTTTTTTTCTTAGTGACTCACCAGCCTGATAATATGACAGCAGATGAGAAAGGGCTGGATTCCCTTAGAAATGTTTGCATGAACCTAATAGGTGACAGTTGAATTTCATTAACTGGTACATTAAAGCAGTAATTTAATAATATTGACTTGCTTTTTCTTAAAATTAGAGGAGAAAATGGTAATTAATTTGATGGGTATTTGACCCAAAAACCAAAGCCTAAGCCCATTTCCAAGCAGCCAGTCCATCCCATAGGTCATCTTCTCTCAAGTAGATAACTCTCCTTTCACACTTCCTAATAAAAGACTAATTTATTTCAAATTTTGGTTATTTATAGTATTACATTCAAAATTCAAAAGAGACAGAAGGATATAGCAGGGTCAATCCCTCTTGTCCCGATGTCCCAGCCAACCAGCTTTTCTCCTTAGAGGCAAGAAGTTACTTGTTACTCCTTCTGGAGATAGTCCATGCATATTCAAGCAAATATGTATATTCATTCCCCCTTTACTTTCTTTTTTTTAAAAATATATCTTTATTGATTTCAGAGAGAGAGGAAGGGAGAGGGGGAGAGAGAGAGAAACATCAATGATGAGACAAAGTCATTGATTGGCTGCCTCCCGCACGCCCCCCACTGGGGATCAAGCCCACAACCCAGGCATGTGTCCTGACCAGGACTCAAACCCTGATCTCCTGGATCATAGATCGGCCGATGCTCAACCTCTGAGCCACGCCGGCCAGGCCCCCTTTTACTTTCTTTTCAACAAACTCTAATATACTATACATAGTATTCTGAGCTTTGCTTTTCTACTCACAAGACGACAATTCCACATTAGTCCACAAAACCACCCTCTATTTAACAGCTGCCTTAAGTATCCATTAGATAAATGTGACCAGCCTCCTATGAATGGAGGTTTAGGTTGTTTATCATTTCTTGCTAGTACAAATAATGCTGCAGTAAATTATCCTCAGTTATGCAATTTTTCACATTTCTTGTGGTACTGTGAATAATCTTTTTAGTTGTCCAAGCCATACCTTGTACTTACCCCAGACTCCCCTTCCTCCTTGGCCCCTATAATCAGGTAGACCACTAAGTCCTGTTGATTTCCCTTCTCAAGCACTTAATGGAGAGCTTATGTGCAGGTGGTATTCTGAGCCTCTTATGTGTACCATATTACTTATTTTCACAATGGTCCTGTGAGGTAAGTGCTGCTATTATCCCCATTTTATAGGTAAAAGGCACAGAGAAGGTAAGTAACTCACACACTAGCTGTGAATTACTAGTGGGTGGGTGGCTGAGCCAGAATGACGCCAGATGTTCTAGTTCTAGAGCAGTGCTGTCCAATAAGAATGTAATGCGAGCCATGTGCACAATTTTAGTGTCCAGGTAAAAAGAAACATGTAAAAGGGGAAATTAATTTTAATAATATATTTTACTTAACCCAATGTATACAAAATTTTATCATTACTACGTGTGAAACTAGCCACATTTTAAGTGCTTAACAGCCGCATGTGGCTACTGGCTACCATATTGGACAGTACAGGTCTAGAGCTGCTTTTAACATTTATGAGACACCATCTCTCTAACCTAAGACAGAGATGCTACTAGCTCCCTTCTCTTCCCCACTCAGTCCAACCAGTCAAAGTACTACTACTGTGAAGAACATTGAGTTAAGAGTTAGCAGACCAAGATTAGTGTCAGACTCGTGTTAGTGTTTCAAAATTTCAGTATTTCATCTGTAAAGTAGGAAGGAGGTGGAGGAATCTAAATCACAGAATTGTGTTGAAAATTAAATATTTAAAACAGCACTTAACATAGTGCCTGGCACAAAATTTAACTCTTCAATAAATATTATTATCATTACTTAGTACTATGGCCCTCAGCCATATATTATTAATTATATATCAAGATAATATTTCATTGCCCTATCATCTAATTGTCCTGTGATCTAATTGCCCTAATTAGGTCATAGGCTGCTTATTCAATTTTTATTTTTGTCTCAGCACTTAAGGCACAAAGAAAATAGAAGATATACACATGGGTAAAGGAAAAGGAATGTATATCTGTATATTCCAGGCATTTGAGAGACTCTCCATCTGTTCCATTAATAAATTGTCATGACAACTCTATCAGGTGCTTAGTTATAATTCCCATTTCACAGACAAGGAAATGGAGGCCATTCAATGTTAAGGAAATTGTTCAGAATATGAAAAGTTTGTAGCTGAACCCACGTCTCTCAGACTCCAAAGTTTCTGCTTTTGGTAGTTTTAAGGATCAATAATAGGATAAAGCCATCTTGCATCTTATATTCAAGTCTTCTAGCTTCTTACACTACAAATTGAAGCATTTTGTCAATCCATAGTAATTAAGACTACCTCCTACAAAATCACTATTTCCTATCTCAGCCCATCTTGTCGGATCTGCCTACTGGCATGGCCTCAAGGGCTAAAATTAGTATTTGAAAGAGCTATAAAGTGAAGAAGAAGGATCACAGACCTTATTTCCGTAAGGCAAAACACGTGTGCCCATTATTTACTCTGGATTAAGATCACCACAGATGTGATTGCAATTTCCCATTTTAATGCAACCAAGCACTTTCATGAAAACAAGCTAGCATGTTAAAATATGAGCTAGAGCACAGTGTGGTTATGAGATAAAAAGTAATTTCTGTCCAGTATAAGCCAACTTTAATTAAAGAATACAGTTAAAAAATGTACATGAATCTTGTGCAGTTCAAGGATCTCAGTAATGTCCAAGCACGACAGTGCACAGGCTATCTTAAGTTAATGGGATCATGGCAGGAAAACTGTTCTCTGCATTTCAGTAATTCTTAACTTTATTTCTACATTTGGATTATTACAGTAATTTCCACCTGCTCATTTTTTGCACTGAGAGTTTTCTTTGAGAGTTCATTAGTAATATAGTTTAGGCTTTGGGGGATGCAGCTGCCATTAATTTTGTTTTTGTTTGCTACTGGGAAAATCATAATTGAAAATTTCTAGCAAGATGCATAGATGTACCTATTAAAGAAGCAGTTGGTTTTTATTACAGTTATAGTAAAAGAATGACTGAAAGACATTTAAGGGGATTTTCCTTGAATTCTACTTGAACAAAACCACATATTCTAATAATTTAAGCTATAAAGCATGCCTTTGTAATAAAAATAATAAAAATATTTTAATGCATTACATCTATTATTTTTTTAAACTTGAATTTTTTAGAATACCACCTCCTGTTCTTTTTATCCATCTTTATATGCTCACCTGCCCCCCCACCCACTTCTTCTCCCCCTCGCTAACTTATACATCAAATAGCAAGCTATGGTATCATCAAAGAAATTTTATGGATATGGCAGTAGCATG